ACACTTCTTCCAGGTGTCTGTCTACTTTTATTGATGCTCTGCTTTCTCCCTTTGGGTGATTGTTGCAACTAATTTTGATGACCCCTAGGCTTCTTGTTCACCCCGATCTGTTCTTCACCTCCCTTCCACCCTCTTCTGACTCATGACCTGGTCTAGTTTTTGCTTCCTTACCAGGATCCAGTGGAAGCAGATTTATCTCTCTTGCTTTGCATCACGACTTCCCTTGACCTACCAGGAATGTACACACACTGAGAGACGACTTGATAAGGCATCCAGGTGATGTATTCAACTGAGGGAAATGCTTCAAGTCAGCCTGTCTTCCACATTCGGTTACTTACCACCCCTGGTCCTAAAGATCACCTCTCCCGTTCTCTTACTGACACTGGCTTATTGATCGATCAGCTGTGGGTCCTGAAGCACGTACTAGTCTTCCCACTCATGTCTTCAATCATACTGTATGGACACATCCGTGCCAGTTTCTTAATGACTTTTTGGGTAGCTTCCCTAGGTTTCCGGCCACATTTGGTGATTTAAAGCTTTTCATCTTCTTCCCATTCCCCTGTAACCTTAGACTTGAACTGGCTCTGGGAACCTGGGGCGGGGATGGATCAGGTCTACTCTTCCTCCCATCTTTTTGGATCGTACTGCTTCGGGTTTTCGTGAAGGAGGATCTTTCCTTCTGGACGGGAAAAAAAGTCCTTCCTACTTCATGGCCACCAATTAGTTCCTCCCAGGATCTTCCCAGGACTCTTTAAAAACCATTTTTCTTAGTTTAACAAAATTATATACTGCTGTGTACACAGTACTGGGGAAGCAAGCACAACTTGTACAAGGAAAGGTCATGGAAGCTCCATAGACACTTCCAGACTCCCTGAGGGACTGAATTGCTGGTCGGAGGGCTGTGGGGACCATGGTCTTGGGGAACATCTAGCTCAATTGGCATAACACTGTTTATAAAGAAAATGTTCTACATTCTACCTTGGTGAGTAGCGTCAGGGGTCTTAAAAGCCTGTGAGCAGCCATCTAAGATACTCCACTGGGCTCACCCCTGCGAGAGCAAGGGAGAATGAAGAGAACAGGATATAAGGAAAAGATTAGTCCAAAGGACTAATGGACCACAGCTACTAAGGCCCCCACCAGAATGAGTCCAGTACAGCTAGATGGTACCCAGCTACCACCACTGTCTGCTCTGACCAGGATCACAACAGAGGGTCCTGGACAGAGCTGGATAAGGATGTAGAACAAAATTCTAACACACAAAACAAGACCAGATTTACTGGCCTGACAGAGACTGGCGAAACCCTGAGAGTATGGCTCCCAGACACCCTTTTAGCTCAGTGGTGAAGTCGCTCCCGAGGTTCACCGTTCAGCCAGGGATTGGACAGCCCCATAAAACAAAACAGGACTAATGAGGCACAGCAGTCCAGGGACAAGGACTAGAAGGCAGGAGGGGACAGGAAAGCTGGTGATAGGGAACCCAAGGTTGAGAAAGGACAGTGTTGACATGTCGTGAGGTTGTTAACCATTGTCATAGGCAATATATGTACTATTTAATGAGAAACTATTTGTTCTGTAAACCTTCATCTAAAGTACAAAAAAAAAAAAAAAGAATTATCTATGTGAGATCAAATTGACAACAGCAACTCAAAAGGTTTGATGGGAAGCCTAGGGGACAGTGAGTTGAAGATAATGGTGATGGAATAATTTGGAAAAGGGTAGTGAGAATAGCAGCACAACTGGAAGAATGTAATCAATGTCACTGAATTATACATGTAGAAATTTTCGAAATGGTGTATCTTTGGCTATGTATATTTTTGCCAAAAAAAAAAAAAGGTCCTCCAAGGTTGAGAAGGGAGAGTGTTGACATGTAGTGGGGTTGTTAACCAATGTCATAAAACAATATGTGTACTGACTGTTGAATGAGAAACTGTTCTGTAAATCTTCATCTAAAGTACAGTAAAAAAAAATTTTTTAAATTATATACTGCTGAGAAACCTTGTTGTCTAACATCTCAGACTGTCAGAAGTTTGGCTGCTTGAAATCATATCACCAGGAATGGAACATCTCACTCCTACTTGGAAGATCTGAGTTTCTTTGACACAGAGGAGCAGCCTTGACTTCCACCCCACTAGAGCCTTAGATAATGAGTTCCAGACACAACATTCTTCCCTTATGCCTACTTTGTAGTTCCCCAAAAAATAGGTCACTGAGTCCACTTCTCAGCCTAGCCTGATATTGACCTCTTTACACACAGCCCTGCTTTGCTTTGTGCCTATCAAACGCTTCGTCATTTCAGCTTCACCTGAACTGTACCTTTACCCCAAGTCCTGCAACAGCTCTTTGTGAGATGCCCTGACGTGCCCTCTGGAGTGGTCTCCTTTGCTGCAGCAAGATAATAAATTTGACTCTGTTGGACTCCAGCAGTATGAGAGCAGTATGAGACAGGCTTTATCACACTGTTGGCTAAGACTATTTCTCCAGCTTCTGCATTCACATCAGGGGCAATAAAAAAAAAAGAAAACAAATCCATTGCCATTGAGTCCATTCTGACTCATAGTGCCCCTATAGGACGGAGTAGAACTGCCCCATAGGGTTTCCAAGGAGCGGCTGGTGGATTTGAACTGCTGACCTTTTGGTTAGCAGCCATACCGCTTAACCACTGCACCATCAGGGCATTATGGCCCTCCAAAGGGCCACAACACATGAACACATTCGGTTTATCTGTGGTATTTAAATTTCTTGGGCCAAGACGGGAAATGGTGAGTAGGGGGAAGAAACAAAACTTTTGAGGGGGAAATAATGCAAAAAAAGTCTGAGAAACAGTACTTTAGCTACTATTGAGTAGCTTTCAGCATCCTCTTGAATCAGATGCCCAAGGACTGGCTCTCTTTTGCAGCTAGAGTGTGAGTTCTGGTCCCTGTCTTGGGAGATCCAATCCTGGTTTGACCCCTTCCAGCATCCCCAGAACTTCTACCCTTGTCTGTAGTCCCCTCACCCATGGGAGACTCACACTGGCTCGCTGCGCCAATGGTGAGAGTGCAGGGCACTCCATCACGCACACATACGCTGACTCTGCCTTCTTTCAGCCTTTCTCCTTCCCCCTGCCGAGACAGGCACAGGGGAGGGAGTCACAGAAACGCGTCTCCTCTTCTTGTGAGCTTGCCCACCTCGGAGAGCCCCTTTGCCTTGAATTCCGAAAGACACAGAAAAAGCTACCCCTTCCCTTCCCACCACCCAGATGATTGTCCCAGCCTCTGATAGCTTATCAGCTTCCCCACTTCCTCCTCAGTCTTTCGCTTACGTGGCCTGGGATGGTGGTGGGGACAGCAAAGCCAGTTAAGGTGTCACTGATTCATCTTAATAAACCCTGGGGAAGGAGTCAGACGACTGTTGTTTGTGGCTGTCTTTAGAATGTGGGCTGGTCAGCTCCTCTTTATCCTCAGCTTGGGGTCCTCATTACCACCTCTGAGGTCGCACAGAATGCTCCACGTGACACTTCACGAATGTCACCCTCATTCCCTTTCTGAGCCATGTAGGCCTATGTTGGCATCAACTTCTCACCAGCCGCCAGGACTCACTGCCTTGAGATAGTCAGATGAGCTGTGGGATAGAGAGACAGCTCATGCCTTCATCTCTCCATGGAGGTGTGTCTCTGCCTTTCCACCTGAAACCCAGTCCCCCACTGATGGCCCTCATTTTCCCACTGGCCTTAGCCTCGGGAAGAAACTAGATGTTAAAGACATTAGCAGACTTTTGAAATCCCAGAAGTCCCAAGCCTAGCCAGCTGTACATTGGAGGTGCTCAATAAATGTTTTTGAGATAAGGCTGACTTCGTACAAATAGGCGGCAGTATTTCTCCGGTTGCCTGCTGGGACGGGGGTCTGACCAGCTGTTTCTCATGTACCACCCCACAGTGGAAAATGAAAACTTACTAACTGACCAAAAACCAAACCAAACCCGCTGCCGTTGTTGCTAATCTATTGCAAGCAAATGACCACATTTCAATGAAATAGCTCCTAAGAAGATAAGGTCTTTGCAGTGACCTGAGGTCAACCAGGCTCATTAGGGTAATTTATCATTTTTTTTCAAGAGGGTTTCTTTCCTGGGAAGAGGATGTACCAACCCAGATAGTTGACCTGCTTTGCACCTAGTTAAACTTATCGTTAGAAACTGTTTACATTTGTGTGCTAGTAAAACTGCCTTTTCTGCCTTTGCGGCCCAGGTCACAGGGGTCGTTACACAGCTGAAGGCAGAACAGCGGAGTGGGTTAGGAGCATGGGTTTCGGAGGCAGATAATCCCACCTTCAAGTCCTGCTTCATTTACTTGGGATCTCCAGCTAGAGACTTCACCCCTCTGTGCCCCTTTCTTTATCTGTAAAATGGGGATCATCATAGTACTTACTGTGTGGTTATTGAGAGGATTAAAGAAGACAATGGTTCGGGCCAAAGCTTTAAGAGAGGTTAGCTATGTATTTTTATTCCTCCAGCCCCGATCCTCTCCCAGGGTCTAGGCGTCTAGCCGTTTAACCCTTTTCCTGCAGAATCCAGGTGTTTTATCCTTCCAGCCACTCATCCCCCGATCCACGTACACCATAAAAAAAAAACCAGAAGACAGGAAAGGCCATTCTTTTCGCTTGCTATCAAATTTATTTGAGTGATTTTTCTTCCGTCAATTTTTATAGAAGTCTCTGGAGATCTGAATTTCTTGAGCAACGGAAACTTCTTGGAAAAGCACATGTGAAAGTAGGATGGTCCCTCAAGCCTAGAGCCAGAAATGGCTGCTAGCCCTGTTCACCCCACTCTGGACTTGCCAGTAGGAGCAGCTCTGGGGGATGCAGTTTTCCCCTCCCCTGTCCCGAGCCACTGGGCAGCTCCCTCAGACTCTGCTCACTCCTCTTAACTCTTTCTTTGCCCTCAGAAAAGCACAGGAGCTGGCAGCTGCCATGGGGAGCTCGACTTGCCCCATAGCAGTCTCTCAACCCTGACTGCTTCCCAGGGCTGAATCAGCGGTGCGTGAGGGGACAAGAGGGAGGGCAGAGTGGTGTCAGAGCTGGGCTTCGGTGAGCACGTCCTTAGAAGGACTGAGTGTGTGCTCAGCCCCTGCCCGGGCCCCATCGGTTCCCAGCCTGCCATTCAAAGGTCCTGCTTGACTTGAGATAGGTACTATGCTGGGGACGATCCATCCGAGCACCCAGCTTTCAGCCCAAGCTGCCTGGCAACGGGTTTCACAGCCCTCCTAGAGTCTCCTACCTGCTCTCTACCTTGGACAACTCCTGCTCCTTGCTTTCCCGCGTCACCGTCAGTTCCACGCTGCGCTCCTGCCTGTAAAGGCTCCAGGCCCCTGCCAACCTCCTCAGCAGCCCCTGAAAGTCAGCTTGGAACCCAGAGGATGAGCAGTAGTAGACAAAGGGGTCGATGCAGGAGTTGAGGGTGCTGAGGAGCAGCACGTAACCTCTCCACGCTGGGCTTTCACCCTGGACGTAGCCCACAACATGGGACACATTGTAGGGCCCGAAGCAGACAAGGAAGTTGAGCAAGGTAGCTGCCACGAGCCCTGCCACCCTCTTCCTCCGGTGCTGGCTGGCTCCTTTGCTGAGAATCCACAGCAGACGGCTGTAGCAACAGCTGGTGATGAGCAGAGGCACCCCAAAAAGGACCACAGCCATCTCCAGCCGGACAGGCAGGAGAATGGCCAGCTGGTATTCCTGGAACTGCAGGTAGCAGGTCCCATTGGCGGCTGGACTCTTGGAAGAGGCCCCAGAGAGTTCGATGACGTAGACCACACTGCAGTGGCTGGCTGCCAGGAGCCAGCAGGCCACACTGACCAGAACGGCCTGTCCCGGTCTTGGTCGGTTTTTGTACCATAGGGGGTAGGCCACGCTCAGGAAGCGCTCGATGCTCACAGCCGCCAGGAAGAGGGAGGTGAGATAGATGGTGGTGAAGAAGAGGAATCCGGAGAAAGGGCAGAGGAAGAAGGGCAGGGGCCACTGCATGCCATTGGCTGCCTCCACCATGCGGAATGGCAGGAAGAGCAGCAGGATCAGGTCCGAGAGGGTCAGGTTGAGCAAGAGCACATCCACAGCCACCGGGCGGCGCCGAAGCTTGCCCACGAAGATCACAAAGGCCATCAGGTTGAGGGGGAGCCCCACGAGGAAGGCGAAGAGGTACACAGTGAAATAGAGCCAGTGGTGGCTGGGGAAGAAGGACTGCTCTGAGTTTGTGCCCATGGTGATGGCCGCTAGCAAGAGAGAGAGAGAGAGAGAGAGAGAGAGAGAGAGAGAGACGGAGATGGTAGTCTGGTGGAGATCTTCCTGGCTCTTGCCAGCAGCATCTCAGCTCTCAGCAGAACACTGTCACCACCCTCCCCCCACCAAAGCATCCCCAGCTGCTTTCCCCAGTGAGGTCAGCCTGCCTGTCTTTCTGATCATTCCCTGTCTCCTGTCCCTTTCCCCAGCAAAGAAAGCACCCAGGTGCTGGGCCTAACCACTCAACTGCTCCTCCGCACAGCTCCTCAGGGCCCCATGCTCACCTGCTTACTGGAGAACCCAGGTGCTCTGTGCCCAGCACTCTGCTGTCTCTTCCAGAACAATATGGTTAGCTACGTATCTGGCAGAACTGATAAAGGCCCATGACGTCACTCACTGCTGAGCAGCAGCACAAAAGATGCCTTTAGCTCCTTTGCCAGAGCTGTGTCAATATGCAAAAAGAGGAGCAAATTCCACAACTGCGTGCCCTGCTCTTCGGGTGGCCTCAGACGGGAAGCCTGAAGCACACTGGAGCAGACTTCCTTTCTCCTCCCTGATCCTCCACTTGAATTTGATCTGCTCCTCCAGAATGGGACTCATCCAGCTTGCCTTGTAAGGGCAGGAAGTGCATTGCAGGGGTGACCAGAGCATGGGCTCTGGAGCCAGCAGGTCTGGGTTCAATGCCGGCTCAGTCCCTTACTAACTCGTGGTGTGGACTAAGTGACAGTAACTGTCCATCTCGGTTTCCTGAGGGGGTGATTGTAGCACCAGTTGCCCCAGATGGTTGAGTAATGCACGTAAATACAAGGCTTAGAACAAAGCCTGATATGTGCGGAGCTCTCAGTAGATGTTAACTGCCACCGTCCCAGTCACTGGGACAATGTGACTTGTCTCTAGAGTGATACTACTACTACTACTAATAATAATAATAATGGTGGCAATAATGATAGGAGCTACCTTTCAAAATTCATTGCCGTTGAGTCAATCCTGACTCAGAGCGACCCTATAGAACAGAGTGGAACTGCCCCACAGGGTTTCCAAGGAGCGACTGGTGGATTCGAACTGCCGACCTTTTGGTTAGCAGCTGAGCTCTTAACCAGTGTGCCATCAAGGCTCCAGCTACCTTTTAATGGGTACATAATCTATACTACTCTGCTTAGCAGGGCGTCACCACTGCGCTGTGAAATTCTTCAGCCTCACACTACAGAAATGACTTGCTCCAGGTAGTATAGCTGTTTCAAGTATTGCCATCAGAACTCAGACCCAAATTCTGTCTAGCTTTAGAGATAATTTATTTATTCATTCAAGCATTTGTAGAGCACAATGAGATATGATCTCACACCCACTAGAATGCCTTATAGTAAGAAGTCAGACAATAGCAAGTGCTGATGGGAATGTGGGGAAATTGGCAGCCTCATATACTGCTGATAGGAGTATAAAATGGTGCAACCACTTTGGAGAACAGTTCACCAATTTCTTAAAAAGTTAAACATAAATTTACCAGGAGACCAAATAATTCCACTCTAAGTATCTACCGGAGGGATAAAATGAAAGGAAAACATCTGTTCTCGTAAAGACTTGCTCATAAATGTTCATAGTGGCATTATTCGGAAGAGTGAAAAAATGGAAACATCATCTGGGGGTCCATCAACTGAGGAGTGGAGAAACAAAATGTGGTATATCCTTACAGTGGAATACTATTCAGGAATAAAAAGGGATGAATTACCAATACCTACTACAGTATAGAAGAATCTGAGAAACATTATGCTAAGTGAATCACCAAAAAAACCAAACCATTTGCTGTCGAGTCAATTCTGACTATAGTGACCCTATAGGACAGAGTAGAACTGCCCCATAGGGTTTCCAAGGAGCGCCTGTTGGATTTGAACTGCCGACCTTTTGGTTAGCAGCGGAGTTCTTAACCACTGCACCACCAGGACTCCTAAGTGAATGAACCGAGACATAAAAGACCACGAATTGTATGATTCCATTTATATGAAATGTTCAGAAAATCTAGAGACAGAAGGTAGATTAGTGGTTGCCTGGGACCAGGGATGGAAACAGGGATTAACTATACACAAGCATGAGGGATTTTACTGGGGTGATGAAAATGTTCTAAGATGGGATTATGTTGACGGTTGCACAATTCAGTAAATTTTATTAGAAATAATTAAACCGTACACTTAAAACGGGTGGATTTTATAGTATGTAAATTAGAATTTCCAAGGAGTGGCTGGTGGGTTCAAACTGCTGACCTTTTGGCTAGCAGCCATAGCTTGCCGTAGCTGTTAACCACTGCACCACCAGGGCTCCATATCTCAATTAAATAGTTGAAAGTACAGCAGTGAACAAAGCAGTGAATGTAAGGTTTCATGGTGCTTCCATTTAGTGATGCTGGAGATTAGGGGCATTGAGTGGTAGGAGGATAATGAGGACACCACGTTACACCATATTCTTGTCTCTTTATTACAAGAGACAAAGAACCATTGGAGAAAACATTGCTGGTGCACAGATTTGCTGTGCTAGGTGGACTGGTACGAGGTACAGGGCTCCAGGGGTCATGCAGGGCCCCATGGGCTCCAAGGAGGACCTAGACTTTCCCCTAAATGAACGGAGACACAAATAACTGGGAGAGGTGGCCCAGCACCCAGCACCCAGCACCCAGCAAGTGCTCTGCAGCAGTGAGAGTAGTAAGTCATCCTTGGCATTATGGGAGGGGTAGCGAGGCTGCCTGGGCTGGCCATTGGGCTTTCACTGAATTCTCTGGAGTCAGAGAATTTGCTTATGGTCTCTGCGGAGCCTTGGGCAAGTTACTTCACTTCCCTGTCTGTTTCCATATGTATAAAGTGGGGGTAATAGAACTTACTGTGGAAGGTTGTCAGGAGCAATTGTTCACTCAGGAAGTATTTGTCTAGTGCCTCCTATGTGCCAGGCTCTGGGTGCATATCAGTGAATATAACAAAAATCCTTGCCCTTGTGGACATTTAAACATGAAAAGAGATTGTTTGTATAAACCCGCAAGTGCATGCCGGGCACGTAGCTACCAGTACTGCACTCCTGTGCGCTCATGGCATTGTTGGAGGAAAGGCCTGAGGCACCTAGCTACCGGTACTGCGCTCCTGTGTGTTCAAGGCACTGTTGGAGGAAAAGCCTGAGGCACCTAGCTACCAGTACTCTGCTCCTATACGTTCGTGGCATTGTTGGGGGATTAAGTCTGGCTCCTGTACCTCGCCTTATCAGAGTGGATGCCCATGTGTTTGCTCCTTCACAGCCGCTCTCCTCTGCCAGCTGGCTCACGGGTGCCGGTCGCCATCTTTCACCTTTGTGAAGTTGGCCGCAGGTATGGGTGTTGACCCCAACACTCCAAATTTGCCAAATGTCCCCTGGCCCTTTGGGTCTTGCTTGGGGAATCACATTCCGCTTCCACCCCTTCCTCACCGTGGGGCCTCAGGCAAGTTTCTTAACCTTGTAAAATGAAGATGATAATATCTGGCTTCAGGATGGGGGTAGCTCAGGCAGCACTTCGGAGAACATTAGGGAAAGGCACACCTTCCAGGTGACCACCACCCTGCACCAAAGTGGACCACTTAAAGAGTGGGTGATGTCTTTGTTCAAATTAATACCAGATACTTCTTCCACTGGGTTGAGGCAGCCTCATGCCAGGCACATGGCTTGGAGAGCAAAGCACGGGCTAGAATTTAGTCAGTGCTTGCCCCCTCTGCCTGGCACCCTTGCGCAGTGAACAACCCGCCCAACTATACAGTAGCAGCATGGCTAAATAAAAATGTTGTGTGAGGATGAAACCAGACAACCCTTGCAAAGCACTCTGCATGGTGCCTAGTCCATACTGAGGACTCCATATTTGTTCGCAGCTATCACTGTGATTGGTTACATTTTCCTTCTCTGAGCTGAAGCGTTTTTTTTCCTACCAACCTCCTGTTCAGAGCGCTAATGCTGCCCCCTTGTGTGTTCTCAGAAGTACAACAGCTTCATTATCTTGTCTCCTTTCCTGGAGCCCTGGCGGTGCAGTGGTTAAGCGTTTGGTTGCTAACCAAAAGGTCAGCAGTTTGAATCCACCGGCAGCTCCTTGGAAACCCTGTGGGGCAGTTCTACTCTGTCCTCTAGGGTCGCTAGGAGTCGGAATTGACTCGACGGCCAACAGGTTTGTTTTTTTTCTCCCCCTTGGAAACCATTTCCAAGTAGCGTCTCTCCAAGTGTATCATCAGCAGTAGATCCTCTAGAGCAGAAGCAAGCCTCCCCCCTGCTTCTCTGGGAGCACAGGGCCTCTGCCCATAGCAGCCTGGAGACAGACGAGGAAGAGCATGACACAAGCAGAGACAGGGCTGTGGAGCCCGCTGATGTGTACGGGGCAAGCTTACCTTCCTCCTGGGCCCCCAGCTCCTGGCTTCCATTCATCTCTCCGGACTGGGACACCATCTTCTGCCAGGCTTGGTCCTTTCTGTGAGTGGCTCCGGGGATGCCTCCAGCCAAGGCTGCCCTGCAGTTCCTTTGGAGCGTCTCCCACCCGGGGCCTGGAGAAGCGGCCTGGCTCCCCTGCTCCACACACCCCACCTCCAGCAGTAGCTACTACTCCGGGGGTGTCATCTCTTGCATTTTTGCCACACATGCTACCCACTGGCCAGTCCCCCCTCGCAAGTAGCCAGTGACCAGTGGGTTGAGCACAACACTCCAGGCACCTGTGATAAGTCCCAGCTTCCGCCAGCCACCTCCCATGGTGGGGTGCAGGAAGCCAGCCACGTTGGAGGCATTGTAGGGCCCTAGGCAGAGCAGCAGAGTGAGCAGAGCCCCCCCGGCCACCCAGGCTGCCCTCAGCTTCCGTCTGTGGCTCAGACCTGAGTGGGCCAGTGCCCGGACGCAGCCCACATAGCAGAAGGCCGTGATGGTCAAAGGCAGGAAAAAGAAAAAGATGGAGAGACTGAAGCGAGCAGGGCCAGCTGAAGCTGGGTCCCAGGCCTCCAGGCAGACTGGAGAGCCATTGACTGGTGTGCTGATGCCCAGGGAGCTGGTGGCATTGTCCATCCAGCCTCCTGGAGCCTCCAACCCCAAGATCAGCCCCAGGTGACAGAGGACAAGGGCCCATATAGCCACACACACACCCAAGGAGTAGCATGGCCTCCGGACTGCTTGGTAGTCCAAGGGGAAGGCTGCCCCCAGGTAGCGGCCAGCACTCAGGGCAGCCAGAAAGCCACCGCCCACATAGAGGGGAGCGAAGTGGGCTAGGGCAAAGGCAGGACAGAGGGCAGCTGGCAGAGGCCAGGTCCCTTCGGCTAGGGCCTCCACCACCTTCAGGGGCAGAGAGACCGCCAGCAAGAGGTTAGAGCAGCCCAGGTGGAGGACATAGACAAGGCTGGGAGTGAGGTGGAGCCGGGCATGGGACGCAGCATTTCGGATGACCAGCACATTGAGCGGGAAGCCCAGCGCAAAGGCGGTAACATAGAGAGCAAAGGAGAGCTGTGGGGGCAGGTCCATGGGGCCGGGTGCTGGCCTCCCCAGCTCCCGCACTCAACTTGCTCTGCGGCCTCAGTTCTCACAGCGTCAGAGAAGAGCTCCTGAAAGCACAAACGGGTTTTAGAGCTACTTGAACTAGTAGAAGCCATGTAGGGGGATAGTTGAGAAAATGGAGGCCCCTGGGGGAAGTGGTGGTGCAGTGGTAAAGAGCTCGGCTGCTAACCAAAAGGTTGGCAGTTCAAATCCACCAGCCCCTCCTTGGAAACCCTATTGGGCAGTTCTACTCTGTCCTACAGGGTCACTATGAGTCCCAATAAACTGGACAACAATGGATTTGGGTTTTGTTTTTTTTAGTGT